ACATTCCAGCTACCACTCTGCCCAAATGGTTTGATTCTGAGTTGTGTCATAAACTCAGTCAGATTTGCACACTTCGTCGCAGGGCTTGTCACGCCTCTAAATATCTCACTCACAAGTTACAAGACATGGAGGCCAGCTTCCACTTGACATAGTCTCTGCAAAGAAACGCTTTCTTTCCCACAATATTTCTCTCAACCAAAAATTCTCCACTCCTACTTATCCTTTCTTAAAAATTCCCCTACTATCCCACAATCAGTACAACAGGGCTATCAATCTGCCTCTGATCCCCAATCCAGAGTCACTCTCTTTAACAACTATTTCAACTATGTTTTTACCAAGAGCAACTTCCTTCTACCACCTTTGAAGGACCTGCCCTCTCCCTCTTCCCAGTTACATTACATCTCAATCTCCTCAACTGATGTCCTCGACTCCCTCACCGCACTAAAGTTGAATAAAGCTCCTGGTGTCGATGACCTTTCTTCTGTCATTATTAAACTTTGTTCTGGTCCCCTTCTTTCATCAATCACCAGCCTCATCTCGAACTGTCTCATGTACCACAAGGTTCCCCTGAATGGAAAACTCACAAGATCTGTCCTATTCCTAAAAGTGGGGACCCCTCTATTGTCAGCAACTACAGACCCATCTCCCTCTTATGTATCCTATCTAAAGTGCTAGAATCTGTCGTCTATAGCAAGATCATCGATTTAGGAGCTACTATAAAAGCTATGGCTACACGGCATCACTGGTCTTCTCTGGAAGTGGTTTGAGTGCTACCTTACCAACTGTATTGATTTTACCTCCATCGATGGTGTCCAATCCAGCTGTCTCCCTGTGTCATCTGGTGTCCCACAAGGTAGTATCCTGGGTCCTCTTTTATTTCTTATCTACATCAATGACTTCCCCAGTCAGTTGCTGTCTAATCAGTCGCGACGCCAACGGTAAGCTCACGTGAATTTTATTTTCCAAGTGACGTCATAATGGCTGCCAAGTGATGGCTAAAGCTGTGTTTAGTTTTATGCAGTTTACAAGATGGTGGGTAGTCTATAGCTCTAAGAAGCAAACTCAAACTTGAAGCAAAAAGGTATAGAATCAATTTGTTAGTTTTCAGTCTGAAATGTAAGTACATTTTGCTTGTTATTGTCGCTGTTTGGAAAATGGTGTACACTATCTAGGTATATAATAGTACTGGGACTGGCCAGAACAGCTCAGAATTAGGTATGCAACTGGCCTATTAGTAGATCTTTGTGAATGCAAAGTTTTGTTTTGATACTGTTGTCTAGAACGACAGTTGCATCCATAATGTAAGTTCAGCCTGCATGGTCCATTCTTTCATGCCATATTTTGACTGTTCTGTTCCTTTTTTCTACAGATTCCACACTCAGGATCATTAATCAAGTCATTTTACCTCAATAGAATTGTTTGAAATCCTTTTAGAGCTAGATTTTATACTTATCATTATAGTCATATTATGTGCCATTGACTTTCAGAGACCACAGCATCCTTATTTCTTGCTGGAACAACTTTAAACTTCTGGAGTATATTCTTTTAGCTACTGTCTTGTTGTAAGCAAATGGACAAGAAGCTGGAGTTGTCTAGAACACTGTACGCATCCGGTAAAGTCAAGGACATCAGTTGCTTGCAGTTCTATTATAGTTTATTTAAACTGGTTGATGTTTTTTATGGTGATAAATATGTATGTTCTGTGTATTGTATGCAAATTTCATAGTAAAACTATTAAATGAAAAATAAATATAAAATAAAGTAGCAACTCATTAATTATTCATACTGTCAAGTGTATTACAATAAAATTATACAGGCTCTTATGACTTCCGGTACCGTTGGCGTCACGACTGTAATGTCTACATGTTTGCAGGTGATACAAAACATTTTCGAGTCGTCTCTTCATTCAATGACAATGTAGCTCTGCAATCTGACCTCACGAGTATCTCTGAATGATGTGATAAATGGAAGTTAAACTGAAACAAATCAAAATGTACTTCCCTGTTCTTCACACTAAAGACATCATCAGGCCCTTCCCTCACCATCAACAATTCTGTTCTGGGCCTAACCTCTACTCATTGGGATCTGGGTATTATAGTCTCTGCAGACTTATCATGGTCCCAACACATCTCCAATGTGTGCTCACTGGTAAGGTCAAAGCCAGCTTTGGAGTCCCCGCTGCCTTAAAGGGTAACTAAGATTATTTTTTTTGATTTTTCAATAATCAAATCACAGTATCTATACAACAAATGAACAACAGTTATGCACTTATTTCCATCAAAAAGTCTTTCACTTGCAAGAAAATGCACTTTACATTTCATCTTTTTTGTTGACAGCCATCTTCTTCCTGTTTCAGCAACAATGCGGGGGAGTGCAATTTGTGATGTCATCAGATGAATTGATGGCTGTTCCTGCATCTCTTTCATGCAGTATAGATGTGTTATAATAGCTGCAATAATACAAAAACAAGGACAATTTTATACTGCTTCCACTCCCAGATGATATGGTGATATGATTGCTGTAAAAATGAAGTACATTCTTGGGCCTAACCATTCATTTCAAGTTCTTCTTTTAGCTGATAAACCCAC